GCCTGAACATCCAAAGCAAGCGGTCTCTCACCGACTGGAATATATACAAGACTGCCCATACTGGCTGACTTCCTACTCAAAGCATCGGCCACTACATTGGCCTTCCCCGGCTGATACAAGATGGTGATATCATAATCTTTCAATAGCTCCAACCACCTCCTCTACCTCAAATTTAGCTCCTTCTGCTTGAACAAATATTGCAAACTCTTGTGATCCGTGAACACCTCATATGACACGCCATATAAATAATGCCTCCAAATCTTTAGCGCGTGAATAATGGCTACTAACTCCAAATCATGGACATGGTAATTCTTCTCGTGGATCTTCAACTCACGAAGCATATGCAATAACCTTGCCATTCTCTATCAACACTGCACCAAGTTTGATAGGCGATACATCACAATACACTGTATATGGCCCTGAACCTGTGAGCAATACCAACACTGGCGTCGTAGTCAAAGCTGTCTTGAGCTTCTGAAAGCTCGCCTCACACTCGTCTCACCACCTAAACTGGGCACCCTTTAGGGTTAACCTAGTCATCGGGGCTGCAATAGATGAAAAACCTTCCACAAACCGACGGTAATAACCCGCCAAACTGAAGAAACTCCGGATCTTTGTGACTGATGTGGGTTAAGGCTAGTCCTTGACTGCTGCAATCTTCTTACGATCACCTGAATACCCTTTACTGATATAACATGACCCAATAATGCAACCGAACTCAACCAAAACTCATACTTCGAAAACTTAGCATACAACTAACTATCCCTCAGAGTCTAAAGAACGACTCGAAGATGTTGCTCGTGCTCCTCCCGGCTGCGGGAATAAATGAAAGTATCATCAATGAAGACAATCATGAAGCAATCCAAATAAGGCTTGAACACTCGGTTCATCAAGTCCATGGTTGTTGGGACATTTGTCAACCCAAATGCCATCACTAAGAACTCATAATGCTTGTACCGAGTGCGAAAAGTTGTCTTAGGGACATCAGACGCCCTAATCCTTAAATGATGGTAGCTAGATCTCAAATCAATCTTCGAAAACACCTCGACACCCTGAAGCTGATCAAACAAATCATCAATCCTCGGCAATGGATACTTATTCTTGATTGTGACCTTGTTTAACTGTCGATAATCTATACACATCCTCATCGATCCGTCCTTCTTCTTAACAAACAACACTGATGCACCCCAAGGCGAGACACTAGGTCTAATGAAGCCTTTGTCAAGCAAGTCTTGCATTTGTTCTTTCAATTCTTTCAACTCTGGCAGGGCCATACGTTATGGCGGAATTAGAAATGGGCTAAGACCGAAGCCAAATCAATGCAAAAGTCAATATCCCTGTCGGGTGGCATACCCGGTAGGTCTGTAGGAAATACCTCTAGAAACTCATGAACAACGGGCACAGAATCCATAGAAGAAACCTCAACACTAGAATTACGAACATACGCCAAATAGACCAAACGTCCCTTATCAACCATATGCCGAGCCTTCATATATGAGCTAACCCTACTGGTGGAATAACTAGGAGTCCCTCTCCAATCGAAACGAGGTAAACCCGTCAAAGCTAAAGTCACAGTCTTGGCATGACAGTCCAAGATAGCGTGGTAAGGTGATACCAGTCCATCCCCAATATGACATCAAAATCGGCCATATCCAAAAGTAACAAATATAATCGGGTCTCAAAACCCCCAATCACAACTATATATGAACGATGGACACGATCCACCACAATAGAATCACCCACCGGTGTAGACACATATACAGGAGCATTCAAAGAATCACTAGGTGTGACCAGATATGGGGCAAAATAAGATGACACATAGGAGTATGTAGACCCTAGATCAAATAGAGCTGAATCATCTCTACTACAGACCAGAACGATACCTATGATAACTGCATTGGAGACCTCAGCCTCGGGCCTGGCTGGAAGAGCATAACATCGGGGCTGGGCCCCACCACTCTAAGCTACGTCCCTGGGACAACCTTTTGTTGGCTGGCCTCCACCTCTAGCGGCCTGACCTCCACCTCTAATACCTCTACCTCTACCTCCAGAGCATCTTTCCCCCACCCCTAGCTGGCTGAGCGGGCGGTGGAATACCTGGTGCCTGAACCATAGCACGGGAACCCTGTTGCTGCGACTGAACACCCACTAATCTCGGACAAGCCCTCCAGATATGACCATACTCCCCGCACTCAAAGAATCCACCTAAGTGGTGTGACTGAGGGAACTAAGACTGACCTGAGCAGGCTGACTGATATGAGAATAACTTTGAAGAGGAGGTGCTCTAATAGGAGCTGATGGTGCACGGTAGGATTGCTGATCAAAATACTGCACATGAGAACCTCAGCTACCTAGAGTACCATGAGAAGTTTGAAATGCTGAATGAAACGGCCTAGGAGGATGGCCTCTACCAAGAGAATCCCTGCCTCTAGAGGCACCACTAAACCTGCGTGAATGATATGGCCTCTTGTCAGACCCCTGACCAATACCCTGTGATAGAACCATCTCATCTTCTGGCCATATTGCCCGCATCCTAAAAAGAAATCTTGCTCTCAGTCTCCTTAGCCATCTGCAATTGAATCGGCTGAGCGAATCCCTCAATGAACATCCCCACCTTCTCTCTCTCGGTAGGAAGTATGATAAGAACATGATGGGCCAAAGCAATGAATCTAGTCTTGTACTGAGTGACGGTCATAGAACCCTGCTGGAGACGCTCAAACTGCCTCCAATTGTAATTCCTCTGAGTGATAGGAAGAAACTTCTCCAGAAATAGCTGAGAGAACTGATCCCAAGTCAAGGCAGGCGACCCAGCTAACCTAGTCAAACAATAATCCCTCCACTAAGTCTTGGCAGAACCTGACAGACGAAAAGCGGCAAAGTCGACCCTATTAGTCTTCACTATCCCCATGTTCCAAAGAACCTCATGACAACTGTCTAAGTAATCTTGGGGATCCTCTGAAGATGTACCACCATAAGTAATTGTGAACAGCTTGGTGAACCTGTCCAACCTCCACAAAGCATCGGTAGACATAGTTATGCCATCACCGGTCTGAGCTACCACACCCGGCTGAACTGCTCCAACTGGCTGAGCTGCTGGAGTCTGAAACTGGGGAGCCATCTGCTCTGGTGTGCGGGTAGCAGGAGTTTGTGCTCCTCCCCTAGCCTAAGAGATGGCTGGTGCTACAGGAAGTAAGCTTGCCCGGGTGACACTCTCCACAAGTCCCACTAGACGGACCAGAGCATCCTAGAGTACTAGGGTAGCAATGAACCCCTCTGGGACCTAAGCTGAGCCCACCAAAATTGTCTAGGCTAGAACCTCATCATCAAACTCTACCCGAGGATCCACCGCTGGTGCTGTTGCTTTGGGCTGAGCTGGGCCCCTAGCACGTCCTCTGCCTCGTCCTCTATCCCTCGTGGGAATTGTTACTGGGGGCTCAGCCTGCTGGTCAGTGGAAAAAGAAGCACGTATTCTCGCCATCTGCAAAAGAATAGAGTAGAAGTTCAATTAACATTGAGATAACAAACTGCACGACAGAGATAAATAGAAGTGAAATTGTTCCTAACTCTGTAGCCTTTGGGGGATAAGCACAGACATCTTTGTACCGATCCCTTAGAATCTACCAAGCTTTTCCGTGAATTGTGAGACCTAAGCAATCTAGAGCTCTGATACCAACTTGTCATGACCCGGATTTTCCACCCTCGGGAGTCGTGATGGCACCTACTCATGAAAGCTAGGCAAGCCGAGTATAATAGATTCATTAACCTTTTTCTTAGCCTTTTAACAATTTTAAATCAACATGGGATCAACAGCGGAATAATAATAATAATTAAAGAAATGCGGAAGACGAAATCTGCTAACTTAGAAAATTACTAGTACGAAAATTTCAAAATACATCTCTACCCAAAACTGGTGTCACAATATCACGGACTATCTACGAATACTACAAATAGTAGTCTGAAAGATAAATACAAATCTATCTCTGAAATACATAAAAGAAATAGAATGGAAAGATAGAAGGAGACGCCAAGGCCCACGGACACCTGCATGACTACCTCAGGTCTTCACCACTGGAATAAAGGCAGGAACCTCACTATGGACCAAAAGCTCCAGCACCGGGATCTGCACACAATGGAGAGTGTAGTATCAGCACAACCGACCTCATGTGCTGGTAAGTGTCGAGCCTAACCTCGGCGAAGTAGTGATGAGGCTAGGACAAGACTACCAACTAAACCTGTGCAATTAAAGCATATACGGCAAGTACTAATAACGAGAACTAGCAGTTAAAGATAGGAAGGGGAACATGCTGCGGGGGAGTATCAAGTACCAACAGTAACTCAGGAGACAAAACATAAAGAACGCTTTAAAGTTCGCATCAGTAAGAATAAGGAAACAGTGACAAATCTATATCCACTTTTATTATTTAATGTTGCGGCGCGCAACCCGATCCAAATCATATAGCACTATTGCGGCGTGCAACCCGATCCAATCATATATCACTGTTGTGGCGTGCAACCCTGTGGACATGTAATTTTTGACCCTCTCCGAGATTTTGCACATTTTAGCGTAAATATTTAATTTAGGTTTAGTATCGCTATTCCAAATAGTTTTGACTCTTTTACTTTATTTTAATAACAAAATTAAAAATTACAAAAAATATTTTTTTCTTCTTTAGGTTAAAGTCAATTAGTATATCTATATTTATAGTATTATAACGTTTGAAAATACAAAAATTAGTTACACTTTTAGTATTTAGTTATATTAGTTTATTTTAATTTAGAGTGATTTTTATATTTTATAGATACATTGTACTATTTGGTCTTCCTGGCTGAGATTCAAACCTAAAAAACATGGTCTAACCCAATTCCCTAATTCCAAGGCCCAATTTCAGATAGCCCAAAATATTAAGCCCATACCCATTTCCCATTTGACCTAACCTAATTCCTACACCTATAAAATAATGCCTAATTCCTAATAAAAAAGGAGAGTCGAGACTAAAACAAAAATTGGCAGCAGCATTTGGAAAAAGTGAAGAACGAAGGCAATCTTTCATTCGATTCCTAAATTCCAAAGTGAAGAACGGACAAGAGAAACCACGACAGGGAAAAACAAACAAAAAATGATAAAATAGAAATAGAATAAAGAGAGTGGAACGGAAGGGATAATCTATTAAATTGGAAGTTTAATCTTTCTCCATATCTAGATTTTAACTTCTTCCACCACTTTAGAACACCCATTTTTAAATTCTTGCTTTTCTCATCACATATAGACACAAACACCCACCTCCTCAATCCAAAATTGAAAACCAATTAGACTTTCATTCGGTTCGAGTTTTTTTGGTTGCTCAGATTTGAGTGACAATTTCGGAGTTCAAAGTCTCGAGATAGGAATTGAGCCGACGAAGTTCTATTTGAGGTCTCTGGCTTTCCGTGATTCGAGCCCAATATTCGATTTTGGAATTCCAGAATTTTTTCAACAAATTAAGGTCCATCTCTCAAACTTGCTCTTAACTTCCTACATTATTGTTAATTTTAATAAATGTTAAATCAAGTTTATTCTTACTTTGTGACTAGCTAGATATTTATGTCATGTTCAAGATAGCTCTAGCCTGAATGTCATGATATTTGAGTTTGTTAAAAATTAATTTTCAAAATTTTCCATGTATTGTTGTAATGTGAATATAACTAGCTTTGGATCTGCTAACTATTGTCGTTTTTATATTTGTTTTTAAGCTTTATATTAAAATTAAATATTGATATAGTTGTAATGGAAGTCATTTTCTCCATGAAAAAAAGGTAACTCCAGATCTAGTAGTAGATGAACTTCTCTAATTTCAGGAAACACATTTCTTTTAGGCTACTGCTTAACAACTGATTTTGAAGTCTTTGCTATCTTCTTGCTTAGATATGGATTCTATTATCAAACAATAGCATTGCTTTCTCTCTGTGTGTTATTTATGTGTGTGTGGAGGGTGCAGAACTAAAACAATTTGTTAATCTGATGTTGTTAGTGCTTTGGGCATTAATCTGGTGTCGTGAATTATATTTGTGCATATCTTTGGGGCTTGTCTCTTAGTTACACGCTAGCTCTATATCGGTGGTATGAGAAAATTAAATAATTAATTGCGCTAGTTGCTTTATGCACGATTAACAATAATCATCGTGGCTATGGGTACGGTTCCCGTGGCATGGTCGCGATATGTAAATCTAAATTCGGGTGTGCATTTCATGTGACCCTACCATAATTTTATATAATACTAATAAAATTAAACACCTTGTAGATCGTGGATACGATACCCGTGACGCGATTCACGATGTGTACCAAATCGACAAGTGTACGACAATCGTGCCTTGTTGGAGAAAATAATTTCATAAATAATTAAAAGTGGTAGAAGGAATAAAATGCACAATAGGTTTTAAATATGTGATTAATCAGATAATTAGGCCAATAATAATAGTTGAGCAATCGTGCTAAAATCACTGAACCCGGAAATGACTAACACCTTCTCTCAGATTAACAGAATTCCTTACCCGGATTTCTGTGTTCATAGATTGTAAAACAGAGTGAAACTTCCTCGATTCGGGATTTTAAGCCGGTGACTTGGGACACCATAAATTATCCCAAGTCACGACTCTAAAATTGAATAAAATAATCATGTTTCGATAATGTCACTTTAATTGGAAAAACTCCCTTATACCCCTTTCGGGGTAGAAAAAGGAGGTGTGACAGCTCTAGCGACTCTGCTGGGGATTGAACCCAGAATCTCTAGTTCAGGATTCAAGAATTCGATCTTAGAATGATTGTTATATTTGGCTTTTATTTATTATCTGATTTTTATTACATGTTTGGGCCTAATGTGCTAAATGCCGCTTTTTACCGCTTTGATATTATTTGAATTGTATATAAACTGTTGTGAAACCCTTCTCTTCTAATCTTCTGGAAGGTGCACGCTGGCATGACTTTTTTTTGTTAGTGTCATACCCTAATTTAGAAGGAGCATCGGATCAGTTACAAAGCCGGATGGCCTTTTGGTTCCCGGTACGTTGCCCCCCTCGGCTCGAGTTGCCCGCTCGGGTGAGCCAGTTCTAGAATAATACACCCAAATTTTTAAATCTAGAATAACATAGCCTCATGTCGGATCCCTAGTAGGAGTGATTGTTTGCATCACATGCATTTGACCTTGGGGACGCAACACAGGGGTTGAGTCCGTCTAGGACAGGTGTACCCAAAAATAAAAGGGGTTGTTTGGCGGACCAATGAGGGTTGAGGGTAAATGAGAAAGAAAAGAGGGTCAAGTATAAAAATGAAGCAAGTAGCGCCCAGTTATATTTTTCTTTCACATTTTTTTCCATGAAAAAAGACAAAAAAAATGAAAATGAAAAAATCCAAAAAGATGTAGCACTTTCCCATCTTTTTCCGGGAAAAAAAATCAAATAAAAAAAAGGGAAAAAAGAAAATTCAAAAGATTTTACATTTTTCATCATTTTTCAAAAAAAAATTAAAAAATATGTTTTCTCTAAATCAGTTATTTTTTTATATTATTTCTTGCCCGTATCCAATCTTCCCGAACTATGCATACATGATTCTCGTCTTTCGGGGCATGATACGTAGGCAGCCCATATAGGGTCCAGTCTTCCTAATGAGTCTTAGGTTGTTGGCTACGAGGGTCATAGCCAAATCTTGCATGTCTAGCCACTTTTGGCCACATCGGCCATTTTACAAAACTAGGGCTAACTTTGCAAAATGGTTTGTTTAATTGTGTTTGGAGAGCCTTCAATCCATAATTAGGTGTCGTTTTACTTTAAAGGTCTGTCCTTGTTGAATTTGCATATCTAGCCGCTTTTGGCCACATCGGCCATTCTTGCAAAATGGGGTCATTTTTGCAAAAGTAGTTCAGTGACCCATGTCTTAGAGTCCTAGGTCCACAATAAAGTGTCATCTCTGTTTAAGATCCATTCTACTGAATTTGCAATGCTTAGCCTTTTCTGGCCACATAGACCATTTCTATAAAATGGCCATGTCTTAGAGGTCACTTTTGTCGAGTTTGCACTTCTAGCCATCTTTTGGACACATAAGCCATTTTACATAAATAGCCTCAATCATGTCTTGCATGTGTCCAGTAGGGAGTGTTATTGTCTCACATAGTGTTGGTTTCAGTTTTCTCATGCAGGTGTGGATCTACTTACTGGAGTTTGAGCATGACAGACACCCCGGGATTGAGTCTTTTAGGTGGTTTCAGAATCTATCATAGTCTAGCTGAGTTTGTTGAGTCTTTTGTTATCATATTGCTGATTCTGTATTCAAAAAAAGTTGTAATGAATAATCCAAAAAGATTTTAATTTTTTTAGTTTAATTTATCCATTACTTTTCTAGAACTATGCTTGATCAGATTCATGTAGAACATGATACGTAGGCAACCTACATAGGTTCGATCGAATCATTTTTTAAACTTAAAAAAGAAAAGAAAAAAGAGAGATGAAATTATGGGATGTGAGAAATGAGAGGAAAGAAAAAAGTGATAATTAGAAAAAAAAGAGGAAGGAAAATGAGCAAGCCAAGAAGTGGTAGAAAAGAAAGAAAAGAGAGCATTGAAATAAACAAAATTGGGATGATGCTAAGTGACCTTGTGACCCTTGAGTTATTCTAGAACCGTTAATTGTCGTTAGGTGCATTGCACGCAATGTGATATATTTAGCCGTTAAATGCCCTAATACTAACAGGATGACCCCATTTTGTTCCTTTTGTTATCTTCATTGAGTAGAAGGGTGGTTAGTTTGTGGTTCTTAAATAGCTCATCCATACAACACAAGGTCAAAGATCAAGGTAGCCATGGTTAGCAAAGACTTGGACACGAGTGTTATTGATCCGTCTAAGGAGATTGTTGAGTTAGAATTTGAGTTGAAAGAAGAGGTCTTAAGGTTGAAAGGACGGATGACCGAAATATACCAAGACTGGATTAGTGGGCGTCATCTACCATTATTACCCACTAACTACCCTGAATGCTTTGTCACCATTCCGCCACTGTCACAAATCAAGATTCCCACTGCTACTGATATCTTCCCACAACCTTTTCACACTCCACCCGCCAAAACCACCTCAAATCCCACTCTTTTGACCACTTATGTTTTGTAGCTCATCCACCAGCTACATTTCCTCCATCCTCTAGAGAGACTGTGTTCAAAATCTTTGATGCCCAATACTATGCTCCAAAACCAACTATCAAGGTCTCGGATCCATACTCTCACGCTCCTCATTTTGAGCCTCCTGGTGAAACTAAAAAACCTGCTACGATAGTAGAGCAAAATAAGATATCCAGGAAGGTGAAAATCTTAGAGCAGTCTTTAAGAACACATGCAAGGGTTGGCAGGTCAGAAGAGTATTGCCTTCAAGGATCTATGTACGCTCCCTGAAGTTCACTTGCCCGCAGGATTTAAAATACCAAAGTTTAACTTGTATGACGGGCATGGAAATCCAGTACCCCATCTAAGGGGTTATTGCAGCGAAATGAGAGGTGTTGGCGGGAAAGATGAGCTATTGATGGCGCATTTCAGTGAGAGCCTGACTGGGGCAGCCTTGGAATGACATACTCGTCAAGATGTCAATAAGTAGCCTACATGGGATAATATGGCTCAAGATTTTGTTCGGCACTATTAGCACAATGAAGTCATTATCCCAGACCGCTCCTCCCTATCTCAGATGGAAAAGAAACCTAAAGAAAGTTTTAGGGAGTTTTGGTTCAGATGGAACAAACAAGTTGCTCGGGTCAGTCCTCCGATTGATAGAAAAAATGCTGCTGAGCCCCACCAATGACAGGATCCAGTGTGCATTCCAGCTAAATTCTTTTAGCCTCAATACCGACCCCATGAACATCCCCAAGCTCCATATAATCCACCCCAGTATTATCCTTCGAACAATATCCGGCCATCTGTCCAACCACTAGGTCACTCCCTAGGGTGAGCACCAGCATCCCAAAATTCTCGTGTGCCTTCACAGCATTTTCAGCCACTCTATAACCCTAAAAAACATAGGCATGGAGGGAAACAAAGGCAAAGAAATATTTTCACGCCAATCGTAGAATCCTACACAAGCCTGTTCGAGAAGTTAAAACATTCTAGCCTGATTGAGCCGCTCCTCGGCTATACTCCGGACCCATATGCAAAAGGTTTTGATTCTACTGTATGGTGCATGTACCACTCTAATGTCCAAGGGCATAGCATCGAAGATTTTTGTGCTTTGAAAAAGGAAATAGAAAGAATGATTCAAGAAGGGATAATTGTGATCAAGGACAGTGACAAGGGGTATGCAAATCCCCTTAGGAACTTGCTGACTGAAGTTAATGATATTGAAGTTGGTAATGGTCTTGGTAATATTGATGTGGAACTCAGTGTCTAAAATACCGACTTTGGTAATTGGAAAGACGCTCCTTTCTTGGCTAGCTGGGGTTGAGTCTTGGTGGTTCATTTTGTTGTCCGGGTTATTTCAGGGTTGTAATACGGATATTGTCTTGTGACTCAGACCCTTCTATCCTATTATTTTGCCTAGTTCCTTTAGTTGTAGTAACTCATTTAGTGTTATCTGGGTTTGTTCCAGGGTTGTAACTTAGTTTATTTTGCTTGATCTATTGTCCAAACCCTTTCACCGTCTGTCTGATGCAATTTTCTATTTTCTGTTATTTCTAGTCATTTTTTTGTTTAGTTCTCTTTTCCTTTTATAGTTCTTTTCCTGCTGACTCTAGTGACATGACATGCACGCCTAATTATCAGTTTGGTTTTAAAAATTAGTTTAGTCATGAAGCAATTAAATAATTTTGAAGATGATAGGGACATTTGAGGGAAATAAATACAGATTTGGAGATTTTCAGATCATTTGAAGCCCGAACTGTGTGAAACTTGGGCAGATAATTTGGGAAGTTAATAGGATGATAAGAATTTGTTAATGGAGAGTGCATCCCAGACAATTTGAAGCGAGCAGTTTTGAGTTCAAGTGCACCTCAAGTAACAAGATAAAGCCAAGGGAGTTTGCTCTGAACTGACGGAGGGTATCCATTATGAAAAATAAATTACCCAACGAGAGTTTTGTACTTGACAAGGTGCTAAAGAAGTGTGGAAGGCATATCAGGGATATCAATGCCGAAGCTGCAAAAGAAATATTGTGCATGATCTTCTTTTTCATTCTCAATTTGAACGTGTTGTACTTGGCACTTTCAAGGATTTGGAGACCCTTTTTCAGCTACCCAAACACTTTATACCTTTCGGTTCCCCGTTTGAGCCTATGCTAACTTTTTTGACCTCCCCTCTTTTGGAATCAAGTGATAAAAAAATTCATGTTCCCATAGGTTTGTTTTAGAAAGTTCATTCCAAAAGGAAAATTCAAAAAAAAAAAAAAGAATAGAGATAAAGAAAAAAAGAAAAAAGAAAAAAAAAGAGAAAAAAAGAAGGAAAAAAAGAAAAAGAAAAAGGAAAATAGTAATAAAGAGTAGTTCCGTGAACTACATTCGACCTGGTTCTTGTCACCACAAAATACGTAGGCAGCCTTACGGTTCGATCACACCAAATAAAATATTTCATAATCCCACGAAGTTGAGAGTGGGGCAATCTTTCTTAGAAATTCCATTTCAAAAAGAATAACAGAAAAAAAGAGAATCAAATTCTATTATTTTAGAAATTAGGGCAAAGTTTTTAGAATGGATTCCAAAAGTTGTAAAGAAATTAACCCCGTTGTCTTAGTTAATTTGAGCCTTTATGATAACCTTGCTTTCTAACCTTGTCCAAAAGCCATATTACAGTCCAAAAAAGACCTACCAGATAATCTTTGAGAGTGTCAAGTCAGACATCTATTAGAGAGTCTTATCGGTGAAAACCTTCACAGGCACCATAAGGCGACGATAAGTTGAGAGAAAGAACAAAATGAGAGAGGCTTGATGGTGAAAACCCTTCAGGAACTGCAAGTCAAATAAGGATTGTGAATCAGATAGGATAATCAGAGCAAGAAAGCCTAGTTTCACGACTCAGAGGTACAACAATAGTTGAACATTAGACTCGCTTGACAGATTAGACCACTTAATAGAAAGGTGCATGTCATGGTCATTAGAGTTGGTATCCACATCTGATAAGTTTCTACTTTGTAGTTTTTCTTGTTACGTATCATCTCTTTCCATTGTCCATTACTCTGTTCCTTTTATTTTGTTTACTTCCTCTTCTTGAGCCTGTTTGGTCAAAACAAGCAAAAAATGACATCAAAATTTTTCTACCACCTTTCCAATTGCATAAAACAGAATCTGGCTAGCACATCAAAGTGGCATAAGTCGAGAAAAAATAGTATGTGCACTGAGTGGGTGGCAATTGACGTATTTTGGGATTCATATGAAATACAAAGGTTCGGTATATATCAATTCATGATCACAATGCAACAAATAAAGGGTATCGAGTTTGAACGGATCAGAGGTATTTTCTGTGATATGGGTGACAGAGAAAGTGGTTAGTCAATAAACAAGCAAGGTCTTTCGAGTTGAAATCAAAGTTATCATGGGAAGTAAAGGAGCAATCGCCCTCAAAGTCAAGGCCACAAACCAACCACCATGTTTAAACTCACAAGTTTTCTTTGTTTGAAACAGGGACGAAGACTATGTCCAAATCAAAGCTCGGAAGCTTGAATTTTTCAAGTGTCGTGCCCAAATTTTGTAAGCATAAAGGTGGTTTGATAAGGGGAAAGAAAATTTGTTCGATTTGCAGGAACCCTCCATGAGGAAAGCATGGTTTAGGGGCAAGAAATTTTGTTCGTTCTGCAGAGATCCTCCAAGAAGAGATCATGGATCAGGTAAGTTCATTCTCGGCCTTTCAGCACCCTCTTGGATAATGGAATTTAGTTTTAAGTGTTTAAGACCCTCCTGGATAATGAGATTTAACTTCAAGTTTTCATGACCCTCCTGGATAATGGTATGTTGTTTTCAGGTCTCAGGACCCACTGTCACAACCCTAAAACCGACCCGATCATGATGGTGCCTATCGTGAAACTAGGCCACCAGACACAAATCCCGAATTAACCCTTATTTAATAAAAGTCATTTTTAAGCCTTTAATTAATCAAATATCTCATAATATAAGTCTAAATGAATGGTGCGGAATAAATACACAAGCCTGACATCGAGGTGTCACAAGTCACGAGCATCTACTAAGGTCTGAATACAATGAAGAGTCTAAAAATATCCTAAATACAATATAAGGAAGACGAGGGAGAAAAGTAGTGCAGCGAACGTCGGGCAGCTACCTTGCTAACTTCGATGACTCTGCCACTGAGCAATCAACACCCGCTACCGGGTTCAGAATTTTTTGAATATGCACACAAGGTG